CCCTATAAACAGTGTGGATGTCGAGTGCTATCGCCGCGCCACGGATACAGATCCTATCGCCGAGAGAAGCCGAACAATGAACAGATAAGTGGTGCCTTACGATTAATGACTACTAATTCAAGGGAGACTTTCAATAGTATTATATACGTAATTTACTACTCTAATTTCTTGAATAATCTGTGAAATAGTAGAAGTTATCGCTAAAAAATACTCCTGTCAGTCAAAAAATCATAGAGCAACCTTTGATCAAACTATGGCATAAATGTTGCGCGATTGTCGATCGTTTCGCAGCCAATTCAACTGTTTAGTTGCATAACTAAAAATCGAGTTATGTTCGCACCTCCATATAACCAAGACTAAACAGTTGGGCGATAGTTATTTCAAAAGTATGCGCGTTCTTACATTGCATCGATCAGAATCAATTCGAAATTTAAAAAATAAAAATTTTTGAACGTAATAAAAGTAACAATAATAGCATTGTGTATATAGTCTGTAGGTAACAAGTGACAGGCGCAGCACATGTGGCAACACTGCTCCGTAATTAGTGCAATTACCCGCCATTAGATGTTTACTGACCTCGCACTGTTCGGACGCCGGAACTCCGCGTCCTTGTTGATCGTTAAAAGACGAAACTAAATTGCTCATGAACATATCTACTCGTATACTAACATTATAAAGAGGAAAGATTTGTATTTTTTTATATATTGAAATAACACAAAAACTACAGTGCCGATTTTAAAAATTCTTTCACCATTAAAGGTTACGTTATGACATAACATAAGCTGTATTTTTTATTACTTTTTTCACACGGGTAAAGTCACAGCAAAAGCTAGTAAAATGTTTACGCCCTGTGTACACTTTGCCGTCTATTAGATTGCAAGGGGCAAAGTGAAGCTGTGAATCGTTTGAGTAATCGTTACGCATGTAAAATTATAGCAAAGATAAACTAATTTCAGAACGTTAACAAACTTGTCAAATCTGTAAACCAGAAGGGAGTGATTTAAACGGGAAAACATCTAATACGCTATCAAAATCAACAAAATCGTGCGGCTTCTCGTAGGATCGTAGTTAACTCCTGACCTCTATCTTTGCAGAACTTTATTGCTGCTAACTAAGCCTTAAACTAAGGGGATAAAGTTGTATTTACCTTAAATATATAGCAGATATATCGATCGTAAGTTGTCAAGCTGTCAGCATGCAGGAAGCGCAGGGCACCTGTTTGTGAGGTTTAATGAAATTATTTAGTGGAAGCAAATAGGTATATGATAGGAGCGTTGAGAGTACTTTAATTCAACTAGAAATCCGTTATAAATGTTAAATTACGATTGCTTAATTATTCTGAAATAACAACTGATCGCTGAACCTCTTTCCTATTCAATTTATACGATCACACATTCTTATATTGAAGAAATAACATCCAAATCAGTGAATACTTACTTAAGTAACTTGCAAATACTATTGTCTACCCATATACTCCGAAATTACAATTTGAAATAATTGTAGTCCCTGAGAGAAAGTTACGATGAGATTCAATTTAAAACGTGTCAATGTTTCCACGAGTATCGAGATTTAACAATCAGATTACTGAAACACTAACGAGTTTGAATCCTAAGACTTTTAATTGTACTATAAAAGCGTGCACACACCAAAAACTAAATTATCATATAACTGTTCAGTCTCGCTTTGATTCCTAAAAGCTTATACGGAGGTAGACTACTCGATTTTTAGTTGTGCAACTAAACAGTTGAATTGACTGCAAAATAATCGACAATCACAACAATGTCTTACTATTAACTAAACTTTACAAGAATTTAAAACAGACTAAACTTAATTTCTATGTTGCCTTATCCTTGTGTTGGTAAGAAATATACATAGCGCGGTTTTAGTCAGTAGATGTAAACCGCTTCATACGAACTCAAAAATCTTTTAACTAGAATGAGCTTCTTTTACATACTCTCTGAAATGTTCGTCTCAAGTAGTTATAAAGATCAAATTACGAGATATTAAGTGAGGTATAGGTTTATTAGTATGTTAAGAGCAGTCTGAGGTCCGTGCGGAATGGCACTAGCTGTAATGTCAGGCCGGCAGGGGGCGTGGCGCGCCTCACGACGACTGCCGGACGCGACTTCGTCCCCGAATACACTACTTCATTCCTTCAGGCTAAAGTATAGATTAAATTTCATTTGTTTTATGTTTGACATGGGTGGCGATCTTAACTATCGTAATATATTGGGAGTAGTTTAAGTATACATATTATTCTGTGGTTAGCAGTCTAACAGACTAACAATACTAAAATTTTATGCATGAAATAGTTGAACACTAACCGTATTAACAACTATATACATATTTTTTTATTTCTATGATAAATGTAATAAAATGCCTAAATACGTTAAATTTTGTATTTTGTGATAAGGGATATAAAATCTATCTTTATCTTATATTATCATGTGGTGTTTTCTCCTGAGCGTTATTTAATCTACGCATATCTTTACATATATAAAAACAAATTTGATTTTCACGTAGACTGGCAAATATAATTATTTTAAATATTCATGTCGTTTTAGTTAATTTACAATAATGTTTTCTAATATTTTATAACGTATTCCATTATTAAAAATCCCCGTCGTGTGATCGCGTTCAACGCACGGTGCGTTATTGTGCGAATTAAAAAGGGCATCGCAATCGGCCGGCCATCAGAGGCCATCAGCGACCAGCCGGCGGGCGGGTCACGACGCAGACGGTGTGTGCGAACTCTAACTACACTGTAACTAGTGTTCAAACGCCCTAAGCCGCCCGTGTGTGCGCAACTGTACACTTAAGTTATTCTGAGAGCATACTAATACCATGGCTAGTGTCGCATGTCCTAAGAACATAGCAGTGTGTGCATTCTAATTACGTTTAGTGTGTGCGTACCCTAAATGTTTATATGTAAGATTACTTGCGCTTATTAAAAACGTAATTAATTATGCTTAAATTTACCAATACTGGATAACTCTTAGAGTGTGCGTACACATTTGACTAATGTATAGCATTGTTTAGTCTTGCTTTGATTCCTATTTTTTTTTATAATATAGGGTGGCAAATAAGCAAGCGGCCACCTGAATCCACCGAAATGGAAAGAGACCGCTGCCCGTAAACATCCGCAATTGCAGATGCGTTGCCTACCCTTATTCGACGGAGGAGTCGCACATAAAGAGGACATTTCCCTATCAACTGCGTCTCCTCCGCCGTCAAATCTACTTTTCCTTCCCATCCTCTCCTCTTAAGAAAAGGTTGGATAGGAAAAGGGACGAAAATTAGGCCTCCAGCACCACACTAATCAGACGAAACGTGGAATTGCTCCCACTTCACGCCTGTCTTCTGTGTGGTCGTTGTATTACACCGGGAGAGCCGACCCATTCGTGCGAAGATGTTAAAGCGGGCTCTACCACTATTATGACCATATATGGTGCGCACAGTAGTTGATTTAGTTGTGCAACTAAACAGTCGAATTGGTTGAAACAATCGACAATCGCACAACGGATGTGCGAGTTTAGTCAAAAGTGTGCACCCGCTCTTAATATGATAATGTTATTATAGATTTATGAACTTACTTATTTAAATCAACAAGAATTTACACTTATTTATAACTAAGCTGTAACAATCACTAAAATATTTAACTACATTGTTAAGGTTAACCCAAACTGTAATCCGTCGACACAAACTGACGCATTTTTACTAATACCCACTAACATTTTTAATATATGTAACATTTTCCGTTTCACGCAAACTTGTAAAACATCATCATCAGAGGCACTACAGCCGCGGGTGGCCCTGGGACTGGTCCAGTAATTTCCTCCATATCGGTATATCTTGTGCTTTTTGTTTCCAGCCCTTAATGCAGACATTTTTAAAGTCTCGTTCGATATCATCTTGCCATCTTAGTTTCGGCCTCCTAAGTGATCTATGCACGTCCCTCTGGTTGACTCTCTAATAGGCGCTTGGGCTCTCTGCAGTCAATCATGCTCCCTACATGTCTACTGTAGTACTTCAAAACATCTGTACTTTAGATTATAAAATTTTATTACACAAACTTTACTGGTAAGAGATAATCAGTTACACTATTGCATACTAACCAAAGAGATTAAATAAATATAGAGGAGACATAATTGACTTTACTTGAAAAATTCTTCAAATATTCTTACTGACGTTATCTATCTATAGATCCTCAAAACAATATTTCAACAAGTCAATATTTCTATTTGAATTTCTAAAAAATGCGTTTTGTAACTTTTAATAACAAAAGATGGCGCTTATCACAATTTTGTAAAACGTTTTATTATATATCAATACAAGGACACGAGGAAGTACCAAACTTGACAACTGATATAGTACCTATCAGAGAAAGTACCAGTGAAGATATTGTTGACTATGCCTAGTCTATATTATTTAAATGTCTTTGACACTAACATATCGTTCACGCCATCTTTGTAATGTTTTCGCGCGCTTTATTTCTACCTTTTAATTTTATTACCGCAAAATCACGGACTCGTGACTCGTCGCGTTCGGAAGCGTTATTCGATTTCTTCGTAATATTACGTTAGGAAATAAATTGCTTTTATTTCTGTATCCACGATATTATAATTTGTAATTTTTTCATTGCAATGATCTTAAAATAAATATCAATGTCTTATCTTTCTTATATGAACATAGTTTAGCAGAACACAGTCTACTAAGTTTTTTTTAAATTAAAATCGAAGTCTTGGGCATAAACTAGTTTTGTATATCACTAGGTGTTGCTCGCGACTTTGTCCATGTGGAATTGAAAATATTAAAATATGGCCTATATTACTAAATGGTATCGTAGCTTTTAAACGTTAAGAATTTAATACATACAAAAATACAAATCTTTCCTCTTTACAATTAGTATAGGTTTACAAATGTTTTAAGAGTGATAACCCATAATTATGGATTTTAGAACATAATTGTCACAAAATTCTTAAATTCTTAATAAAACAACATTAACGATATTTATGTTTTACTTTTACACGTCTTTTTATGTTTTAATATTTCGACAGGCGTCATATACAATACTTCATTACAATTTTCGCATTTATACTCTTTCGCATTAGGTTTATTTTCGCGTGTAGTTGTTTTAACTTCTTTCTTCTCTTCCGTTCTAGAGGAACACATGAACTGCTTATGCTGTAATCGTTCTAATGGGGATAGACAGAGAGATATCTCGCAGTCAGGACAAGTCCAAGGCATTCCGTAAATTTCTTGATAACTATTGTAACTCCAATCCGTATCGACAACACTGAAACATATATATTACTTACTTTTTACTAATATAAATGTAAAATTTGGGATGGATGGATGTTTGTAAGTTTGTAGCATAAACTGCTGAAAGGGCTTTGATGAAAGACATAGTCTGGAACACACAAGCTACTTACTTTTGTTTTTTTAATACCACACGGACATAGTCGCGGGAAAAAGCTAGTACATAATAAAATCACCTTTTTTAAAGATGTCGAAAAGTAATTTTTTGTTATAAATTTAACAATAATAATATGCATGGGTTGGAATAGGTTTCCTTTGGCATTATTTGGAGTTAGTTAAAGTATTGCTACCTTTTAGTATAAAGCAAGAGTAAAGGTTACCGCGCATTCGTCCACACCTTTCACCTTCATGCCACCGATTAATAAAATAAAATGCATAAAAGTGTAATAATACACGTCGCGACATAGCAGTAAGATTGATTACGAGTTGATCACGCCATTTCCATCTATGCAAGCAAGAATGGCGCATCACAATTTTTATATCTTTATCTCAAGCATATTCCGTTGCGGTGTCGACAAATGAGCGTTAACCTTAACATACTTAAAAACATACCAATTATAAACCACATTATCAGTCACATAAACTCCTCCTTTCTTCTCATGCGGACGGCATTCGAAGCCTTGTTCGAAGGGATTAGGGTCGACAGTCGCGTGTACTTCAGCACCAGCGTACAAGACTTTCAGATCTCCGGGCAGAAGTCGTTTTATAGTATAGCAAACATCACTGTTCATATAAGAACTTATATCACAAGATAAATCATGTTGCAGTTCCCCGTAATTCGTTAATTTTGTTTTCTCTAACTCTGATTCTACTGATTTATTTGGATTTGCATCTAAAATAATAAAAAGATTTAGTTTATGCTGTAACTGATGTGTGGAGGATGTAAATATTTTTATGACAGAGTATAAGCAAAACTTTGAATAATATATCGAGTTTATTTGTAAGGTTGTATCTGTTTTACAAAGCAAGAATTAGAAAGTTTCCTTAAATTCATTTTTAATGTTTTCAATTTTCTTAGTATTTTTCCCATCCTTATTCTGTTTAAACAAATTAAATATATTTATAATTTTAAAACAAATGTAAAATAACAATCCTAAAGATCATATTTTAACAAATTAAAGTAACCAAAATAGTGTCTTTTCATTTGATTATTAAAAATTCAACATACTCCTATCAACTCTTACATATTAATAATTATTAATTACATTATTAATATGTAAGAGTTGTTTATTAATATATTACATTTTATTAATATATATTTTTTTATATCAAATGTAATGTAAAATGTATTGTATAGAAAATAAGAAATAAAGATATATGGGAAGTACAGATTAATAATAACCATATTTCTTACCTAATAATCTCCTATTGATGAGTACATCCCATCGTTTTCTCAACTTTATTGCTTTCAATAAAAGATTCATTCCCGTCTCTGGATATGGGAATTCAAGTAAGAGCCAGGAATCGCATACGATTCTATAAAAGAAAAAAAAACCAGCCCTTAAAAAACACTTCTTTGTTACTTAAGATGTCAGCAATTACAGCATATTTTTTAAAAATTATTTTTTCAATAAAAATACCTATACTTACGTCACACTTTAGGCTATATATTTTCACGCTATTAAACTTAGTGGGTAAATATATTTGACATAAATACTAACGAGGGAAAGAGGTCATAAGTTACTGCAAACATTAAGGAAACAAGATTGCCATGGACTGTCATGTCATGTCATTTTGACATTTGCAATTGATAATTTGACAAATGTAAACGATAAAATAACGTTTTTATAATTCCCTGCGGATGAAGTCGCATGGGAACAGCTAGTTTGTTTAAATAAAGAATTTATAAGTCTACTATGAAGTATTAATGCTAGTTGTCATCTGCGACTTTGCCTGCAGCAAATTAGAGTAAAAACTTAATAGGCTATGTGTCCATATGTACGTTTGTAACAAATTTTATGGAGGATCCTTATGCCGTTTTGGAGATACATAGTAAACATCCATACAAATCTTACATCTTACTTAAATGAGAAAGTTTAGATGGAAGGCTGTTAAAGTTTGTAGCCTAAACTTATGAACGGATCTTAATGAAATTTGGCATAGATGTAGAACATAATCTGGAAGATATAGGCTACATAATTTTTATTCTAAGCCGACGGAGTCGCGATCGAAAGCTAGTTATTCTGTAAAATAACAAAATAAATAAGTTTACCTAGTAAATCCAATATTGGTGTCAACAGAGTGAGACAGCAACAGTAATGTCTGTGCGGCCGGCATACGCATCGAGTTTACTATGTAAGGCTTTGTCGTCTCCAATAGCGAACTGGAAAGACAAAATATATTTTAAAATATCTGAAATACACAGAATATTGGTTAAATTAATTATTGTAAACAGTACATTATACTCGCCTACATATTAACCCATTGATCCCTATAAATGGACAGGCTTCAAGATATGTGTTTTTTTTACTTGATAATGGCGATTTTAACGCTTATGCGTTTGATAGCAGTGGTGAGAACTGTTATTAACATTAACAATCACGTCTCATCGAAGGTAATGTTGTCATTTTCAAGCAAATACCTATCTATTTATACATGTCAGTGTTTCGACTCCTACGACGAATCTGATTGAATGATTTACCGGTTGATAAAAGACATAAGTAGTTAAATAAAATTTTCCTATTAAGATATATTCATACACGACTAATTCAAGAGAAAACAATTATTAATTTAAATATGATATTTAAAAAAAAATCGGAAACTTCTTTCTATTCGTGGAATTAATAAACTACAAAAAAGCCTATACACTCTTGTAGATCTACATGTTATCCAAATTTCTTCGAGATGTGCTCAGAAGTTTAGGCTACTAATATCCTTCATCTAAGCATTATATCAGTAAGATTAAACTCACAGATAACACAACAGTTGATGTCTGGCAGATAACGGCAGTTTACTCTTGTATCCTGGCGGCGTGTCTGTCTGTATGTCTGCTTCAGTCAACTGCAGTATTTTACCGTTTTTACCGAAGTATGATGTAGGATGCAGAAATACAAACGGTTTACTATATGTATGGTATAACTGATCTGATACTGACTGGAAAATAAAATATTAAAAAAATAAATATTGCTTGAGAAAAAAATACGACGACGCTATTTGATTATGAAATTATCTTTAACTAGCTTTCGCCCTCGACTCCGTCCGCGTGTAATTAAAAAAAAAGTATGTAGCCTGTGTTCTTCCAGACTATCCTCTAAACCTAATCTCCGCGAAATCCGTTCAGTCGTTTAGGCTACAAACTCTAACAAACATCCATCCATCTAAACTTTCACATTTATAATGACAAATACATCTTGTATTATAACCCAATCATATCTGTACTATGATAATAAAGCGTAAACACACACTTCTTTGTTGCCTAAGATGTCAGCAATTACAGCATATTTTTGAATAATTCACTTTTTAATAAAAACCCCTACACTTACGTCACGTTTTAGGCTATATATTTTCACGCCATTAAACTTAAGGGGTAAATATTTTGGATAAAAACCCTAACGTGGGAAAGAGACCATAAGTTGCTGCCAACATCAAGAAAGCAACCTTGCTATGGTTTGTCAGCGTCATGTCATTTTGACATTTGCAATTGATAATTTGACAAATGTAAACAATAAAATAAAATTTTCATAATTTTATGCGGATGAAGTCGCAGGGGAACAGCTAGTAAACTAATATAAGAGTACCTTGCAATGATTATATTCATCTGCTATAGCCACTTGTGGGTACAGAGCTCTGCATAAAACTATCTAAAATAATGAAACATGTAAAATTACTTAAATTAAAAAAAAATTGAAAACATCCTTTTTTGGAATCGGTTAAAAACATCAACACACCTCACTCTTCAAATAGGTTATCTTCTAACGCCATTTTGACTACAAGGAATTAAAACATTTAATAAAAATATGAAATCCCATTAGACAATGACATTAGAGCAATGTAGGTGTATTAATGAAACGGCGGTCGGTACTGGACTAATTTATTATCGAGTAAGCGGACGGTAGAACACATAGGCTACTTTTTATCCCGGGAATAGTTACGGTTCCCGTGGGATTCATTAATTTAGTTATTTTAATGTTTACTAGATCATTCTGCAATGTTTCAACATATCTTATTGAAATTTGGCACAGACATAAAACAAAGTCCGGAGTACACATTGGATAAGCTTCATCCCCGAGAAATGTCCGGTTTCCGAGGGGTACATAGCTTTTTGTAATTTATATAGTTAGTATGTTTTCTAATACCACGCGGACGAAGTTGCGGGCAACAGCTCGTAAAAAATGAAATAAATCATACAATGTTATATAAATAAAGCAGTACTTAAACAAATAAAATAGGTACTTAGATCATAAATTGTCGTATTGCCTTCAAAAAGAGAGTGAACAGCTACCTATTGAGCTAGCGCGTACTATCGACTGCATTGTCACTTCACAGGAATGGCGGTCGTGCTAGCTTAACAAATATTAAAAAAAATAACCTTCAACATTATAAGGTCCCGTCCACATGAAGCACTAGACCCTGATATTAGAGCTCGGATTCTTTGAGCGTCATTCGTCATATGAAACTCAATATCACGGATGTCCAAAATGTTGTCATCTTCCGTCTTATCATCTACAATCTCCCAACTATCTACTTTAAGACGTTTCTTACGTTTAGATTCCTCTGCGGCTTTATGTTTA